TAGCCTCTAACTCACAGATACCGGCTTGCCTCTGCTTCCCAAGTGCTGGAATAAAGGGTGAGCTCCACATGACCTAGCTTTAGAGTGGTTTTCCTATTAGTCTATTTGTTATCGTTTTTCCTACATTTTAAGTTCTGAGAACAGAGTGTGTATTCGATATGTTGTTATTATCAGTACCTTACACACGAATTGTCTAATAAAACGTTTGCTGAACATAGGTCAACTTTTCAACATGTAAGATTGTGGGGCTTGGTGTGTGGCTCAGCTGGTAGTATGTTTTGATGTGGGAGTGTCATATATCAATCTGTTGATTTCATTGGCTGAGCAATAAAGAAACTGCTTGGCCTCATAGCTTAGAACATAGGTGGGTGGAATAAACAGAATAGAATTCTGGGCGGAAGAGGAAGTGAGGTCAGACTCTGCTCTGCTCCCGGAGAGACCCAACAGCTGCTCTCTGGAGCAGAGACACCATGATGGACGGAGGCTAGACTCTTTCCGGTAAGCGCACCTTGGGGTGCTTACACACATCATTAGAAATGGGCTAGTCCAGGTGCGAGAATTAGTCTGTAAGGGCTAGAGTTTCAGGGGCCAAGCAGTTCTTAAATGAATACAGTTTGTGTGTTGTTATTTCGGGCATGAGCTAGCCAAGCGGCTGGGGTGTTGGGGACGCAGCCCCGCCGCTCATATTTCAACAGTGTTTGCCCAGTACACATGAAGCTCTGGGTTTGTTTCCCCCGTGTGACATAAATAGGGAACGATAGCACACACCTGTAACCTCAGCATCTGGAAAGTGGAGGGTCAGAAGGTCAAGATAATTATCATCTATGTATCGGTGGCCATCCTGAGCTATGTGAAAACTTGCCATACGCACTCACACTCACATGTATTTATAGAGCATAAAACTCCTGTATTTTTCTCTCTCTCTCTGCCTCACCCCTCTCTCTCTCTCTCTCTCTCTCTCTCTCTCTCTCTCTCTCTCTCTCTCTCTCTGTGTGTGTGTGTGTGCAGGTGCTTGTGTGAATGTGTGTCACTTCAGTGCTTAGTATGACCTTAGAGATAATATGGTCAGACCTTTTATTTTATAGATGTAAGAACTGAAATTAACAAACACTAAGTGGCTCACCCACCCTCTCTGCCTGGTAAGGGACCTCGCAGGTCCGTTAGTCCCATACCTGGCTCTGCATTCCCATCCTCTGTGCACCTCAGCCCAGCACCTGTCTTCTGGAGTGATCTGAGTCACTATCCTTGTCAGCTATGTCCCTGAATTTGACACCAGCAACAGTGTGAAAGACACAGAATTCTGTCCTGCCTCACAAGGGGAAACCAGGAGAGGGCTAGAGCTGCCACCCAGCTTACCATTCGGAAGAGGCAGATGCTGTTTCTGGTGATGTTGTAGTGGCTCAGAACCTCAGAGTTGTTGCTCATTCCAAACGATACGTCTTGGAACTGTTGTGCCATGCTGCTGAATATGGACACTATTGGCGCTTCTAAATCCTATAGCAAAACAAACATACAATGAGAGAGAGAGAGAGAGAGAGAGAGAGAGAGAGAGAGAGAGAGAGAGAGAGAGAGAAAGAGAGAGAGAGGTCTTTTTTGAGAGAAGAGACACAGAAGAAAAATATGCACACGCCAGAAATTGCGGGCTTGATTTGGTCTAGTAAAACCAAACTCACTCTTACACATGTGGGTTATACTTGCAGTAGTATATTTTAGTTTCTCCGGCTGTGTGAGTTTATAGGTCTTTATGCAAACTGTGCCTAATCCTGGGTTTTTGTGCGGCCTTATCATGCAGCCTGAATTCTACTTGTAGTTGATGGAAGCCTTGGCATCCAGAGGTCTGTGAATTTGAGCTACACAGCCAATCATATACCTAGGGAGGCAAATGTTTTGGGAACAGTTTGTGGAGGAACAGGGCGATGCAAAACTAGGAAACAGGTGCTTAGCTCTGTCACTGGGAACGTGCGGGGGACTGAGGTCCTTTTCTCCCAAGGGTCCTTCAGTTTGTGCATGAAGGTACTCACTGGTCCACGTATCTCTGGCATCCCAGGCCTTCACTCATCAGTGATGGTGGCTGTCCTCCCCAGACACTGGCACTGTCTTCCGTGCAGTGTTAGGATGCTCGTCTGCAGACGCTCTGGGCAGTACATGAGAGTATGCCGCCTTTTCCCTACACCTCACTGAGCTTGGGGGTGTGTGCAAAGAGAAGGAAGACTGCTAGTCTTGCATTCGGGATCAACGAGACAGAGTCGGCAACTTGCTCTTTTGAAAAGAAAAGAAGCTGTGGATCTTTGTTGACTGGCTCTCTGGTTTCTAAACTTTAGAATTTCTCAAGAATCCAATGGCGCCATCTGGTGACTATTTGTGTTACTTTATTCTTCCTGTTCTCTTTTCTATTTTTTGTGGGTTTTTTTTTCCAGTTTTGTACACCGAATGGGCATGGTGACTGTGAATTGGAATCAAGGAATGAACGTATACAAGGTCTCAGATAAGAGAATAGGGCTGGGTTAGCTCTGAGGATTGCCAGGTGCTATCAGTGGAGAGAGAAGGAAAGGCGAGAGTGAGCCCCTCTTGTTTACGGCTGTCTGCATTACCCAAAAGCCAATACGTGAGTGACCTCTTCACTTTCCTTTGTATTTAAAGAGGGCAAGAAAGATTACTGAGGATCTGTCTATTTGGTTTAGCAGAGCCTGTGGAAAGTGTTTCCAGGTCACAGGAGATAGATTTAGCCTATCTTTCCGGCTAGTCCCCATTTTAGCATATTCCCATTACGTCACTACTCAGAAGGCTGAGGCAGGAGGATTGTGGGTTTGAGGGAAGCAGTGGCTACATAGAGAGTTCCAGGCCAGCCTGAGTTATGAGATTTTATCTCAAATACATCACAGAACATAAATTTAAAAGTGCATTTGCATTCACTTCTGCCTATTGGCGGGACACCTAGGTACGGTTTGAGGCTGTTTAGGACAGCGGCCAGGGATGATGGAAGCTGACTTCCTGCAGACACCACTTCATTTCAAAGTGCCCATAGATAAGGAGACTCAGTCAGGAGACTTAGAGATCCCGAGGCAGGTCCGAGGAAGACCTGATCATAGCGTGGACTACTTTGAAATGAGGGGGTCTCAGATGAGAGGCCACAGCAGGGTCTGAGAGTTCTTGCTTCCGGATCACTGTCCCTAACCCAGCAGATCACTCCCGCGGCTACCCTAAGGCAGAATATGCCTGACCGTAGGGTGTAGCAAGTAGAATGTTTGTTTCCACAAACCTGGAAGAAGCCTATGACGGCGACTTCAGCAGCATTGATGAGTTCCTCGGTAGCTGGGATGTCTGTGAGCCATATGGGTTCCCCGGTCGTGCTGAGACCATCTGCAGTAGGACGGGTAGAGATGCCAGGCAACACACACCTTTACTCAGAAACTTCTGGAGAAGTTTCTAGGCTCGAATTAAAACTCCCAGAGGATTTTCATAATCCCTTCTCTTCTCATGACACGTTTCCTGATGGCAACCAAACTGTCAACCCTCCCCACCCCCGCGCTTTTTTTGGTTTGTATTTTTATTTTTACCTGAGGCTTCTTCAGCATCTGCTGTGACTTCTGGGACCAGCCCGCATATGAGGATAAATAAAAGGATTAGGCATCTGGACCTGGAGATTCTCATTGTTCTCCTGCTCCAACCCTAGATGTTGAGTTTGGGGGTGCCGATCCAGGACAGCCCGGTGTAGTGAAATGGCTGTGGGTTATTAGCACTGTGGGAATTTTACAGCTGGCTCCCGGGGAACCTTCACCTTCTGTGATAAATGGCTCAAAGTGGCAGGGCTTTGGGACGTATCCAACCAGGAGAAAGACAGCTTAGTTCATTTATTTAATAAAAAAAATATAAGTACTCTATGCCTTTTAATAATTTAAGTAGGAAGCTACAAATATGGCTGTAAGGTGATCCAGTGTCTCCCAGCTCACACCGCGGATGGGAGAGGTGGGCACAAATTATCGATGATTTAAGTATGAAACAGAGAGTGGTGAGACATGGGAAAATTCTGAGGCCTGTGTGAGAGAGATGATGAACAATCGGGGCAACCTAGGGCTTGATGAAGGATGTCTGCCTGCAAGTACAAGCAGAGCCCTGGGTGCATGCGGTCGCCTAGACATCAAAATGTGTGATGGACACATATGGCTTTTATAGGCCAAGACAAAATAGTATAGCTCGCAAAAGCAACTTCAGAGGAGGAGGGTTTGCTTTGGTTTATCCCAATTTGAGGGTACAGCGAGGAAGGCGTGCTGGTAGGAGCATGAGACAGCCGGTCACGCTGCATCCACAGTCGGAAGCGGAGATGGTGCTGAGCTTGCTTTCTCTGTTCCATTCAGCCAGGATCCCAGCATGGAGAGATACTACTCCTGGGCAGGGTGAGTTGTCCCACCTCAGTGAACAGTCTAGAAGCTCCCGCAGACGTGCCTAGAGGCCTTTCTCCTGGCTGGTTCTAGATTCTGTCCGAGCTGACAATATGAACAAGAGATCTCATGGGAAGAACTAAAGTCTAGATGTGAAAGCAGAATGTGAGCAAGCATTAGTCACTGAGAATTACGGGAAGTAAGAGAGTACTGTCAAGGCCGTCTTGCCACAGGCCTTTATGTAATAGACTCAACCAGCACAGACATTTCTTCATTCAGTAGCTACTGAGAGCCCATGGAAGAATCCCAAGCAGGAGCCAGGGTCTGACCTGGCCCACAGATCAAGTCTGAGAGTTCTACAGATAGTGGGGTGTCTCAATCTTGGATGAAAGAACTCTAAGCAAGTATCATATAATAAATGAAATTTAGAATGGTCACTCTGATTATCTGTACTCACTGGCCATTATATTGTAACAACCTGTTGGCAAGGATATATCCATGCCCTATACTGCAGATCTTACCCATGCCCCATCTGTAAGATGACTTAGGATGCGAGCCTTCTGGTACCATATTTGTTTGAGGGAAAAAGGAAGGGAAATGAGGTTCTCAGTCACACAAACAGTCACTTTAGTCACTTTATTCTTTTCCTTTTGTGTTGTTTACAGTGTCTCCCACAAAAGAAGAGCCCCCACGGAATCATTGAAACAGAAGAACCCAGTGGCAAGAATGAACTTCTGAACAGAAGGCAAAGCATCATGACAGCTTGCCTGTTCCCTGGCATTCAGTACTCACATCAGAAGAAAAGGGAGGATGCTAAATGAGACAGAGAAGTCCGGAACTCTGGCCCTGCTGAGGGGAAGGAAGTCTGAGGGAACACGCTGGGGTAAAGCCTAGGTTTTAAGTCTCATCTGTGGGGACACGCTTGAAGAATGGAGTAAGAAAAAACACATCAATGAGGAGTGTGTGTGTGTGTGTGTGTGTGTGTGTGTGTGTGTGTGTGTGTGTGTGTGATAGACTGGATCCAGCTGTGAACAGGGAGAAAGGAGGGAGACCATCATTGACCCGGCTGGAAGAATCCTTCCAGTGGGGAAGGTAGCGGAAGAATGGGCAGACACACTCATTCTACCCAATCCTTCTTAATGGCCAGGTTCCATTCCCAGGTGAGGTGGTCCTGCTTGTCGTCATCAGTGAAGAAGGACTTGTTGTGGTAAGTGCCTCGGGCCAACATGCCCTTGGGAGCCTCCTCCACGGGAGTGAGGAACTCATACTCCTCTGGTCGGGGCCCGTAGCTGCCAACCATGAATGTAGCCTTATCCACTAGGAGGAAAGAACGGTCCATTAGTGTGAGACTCGGGCAACAGAAAAGCAAGCTGAAAATGGGGGATCCGAGAGCACAGCTTACACGGGTGTAATTCCAAAGCAACAGTGCCCAAGCCTGGCCAAACAACAATTTCCCTGGGGCATTTTTTGTTTTGTTTTGTTTTGAACTAAGCCAGGTGTGTATGATTGCATTTCTGGAACCAGGGAGGTTGTGTCAGGAACTCAAGACCAAGTTTGGCTGTGTGCCCAGGATCTTGTCTTTATGACCAAATAATCCCCCCAGACAGATATATTTAAGCATTTTAAAACCCAAAATTCCTTTTAAAAAAAATGTGATTTACTTTGTCATTCCCCATAATGGAGATCAAGGTTTAGTAACCTGTGGGTACCAAAAACCAGTCTTTAAAAAGTATCAGAGTCGATTCTGATGATGAAGCCAGAGTATTAATAACTTAAATCAGTGTGGGTAGGGGGGTTACACCTCCACACAGGGCCATAGCAGACTGAACTACTAAAAATGGGCAGAAAGTCAGGCCTCAGTCTCCCTCGGAGCTCCCTAGCTCTGCAGCACGTGGTGCCTTCTGTCTTTCTCTATATAATGGACTTTAAGGACCCCTTGTCTGAAATCATTCGAAAGATATTTTAGTTGGAGGGGGTTACTGTACCATTTGGTGGTCAGAATAGGTAGAATTTAGGAATTCAAATGTGAGATGGGAGGGGTCACTTGAAGAACCAGCTTGAGGGGACTGCTGGGTCTGGGTTCAGAACACCTGGACTTGAGAAGTTTAACCGGCAGCGAGTAGCTGCGGGGCAGGGTACAGCTGGCCTTGTAATTGCTGCGCAGTTGGAGGCCCAGCTGCACACTTGCCACGGGCTGCTGGCCGCAGTGACTCAGCACAGCCTCTGGGCTCAAAGGAAATAGAAAATTGAGCTGGGTTTTCATGAGACCAGGTATTAGCAAGCCAGTCAGTGTTTCTCAGGTCCTTGATCTTCTCTGGAATTTAATAGACTGATTTTTCTGTCCTGAAGTCATATCAAATTAATAATTGCTCCTGGCTCCTTTGTTGATTTGGGGGACTAGGCTATGTTATCTTGTGTACACGCCTGGTACAGAAAGGAAGCCAGGTCAGGAAGGCGTGTGGATGTGTGTGTCTGGATTACGTTCCTGTCCAAGGGGTGTCCAGAATAATAGCAGAGGGAATATTATACTACTTTTTTTCCGCCCTAGAAAGAAATGTTTTCCCATTTCTTTAAGAGATCAAACACCGTTTCTCTGTCCCTCCTCTCAATGGAACCCCTGAGGCTCACCCAACATACTGTCTCTCTGCCTCTCTTCCCAAGGTGCCGCTAATACTCAGCCCAATACACCACTTCTCTGTCCCTCCTACCTATGGAACCCCTGAGGCTCACCCCAACACACAGTCCTTGGGAAGGTCTTTCTTGTCTTTCTGTCATGGTTTTACACTGTAGACTGTTTGTGCTTTTGAATATTTGGTGTGTGTGTGAGTGTGTGTGTGTGTGTGTGTGCACGTGCGTGCGTGCGTGCGTGCGTGTGTGTGTGTGTGTGTGTGTGTGTGTGTGTGTGTGTGTGTATGTATGTATGCCCACACACTCAGGGCAGAAATTGACCTCAGGTGTTCTTCCCAGGTAATATTTGCCTTGTTTTGTTTGAGACAGGGCTTTCTCACTGGTCTCGAACTCACCAACTAATCTCTGCTGGCTGTCTGGTAATGTCCAGGGACCCCTCCCCCCCAGTCTCTGCCTTCCCAGGATGGGATTACAAATGCATGCCACCATTCTGGCTTGCTTCCAGGGGTTCTCAGGCCTCAAACTTGGGTCTTCATGCAAACACTTTACTGACCAGGTTGTTTCTTCCACTTCTTCACCTTTGACAAGCACTTTATGACCTTTGCCTCAATTTATCTTAGTGACCCTCCCCATGTATGAATGAGTAACAAACTTGAATTCCTGATTCTGAATGCCAAGGGCCAGTGGTTTGCCTTACCTGAACCTGGCATCCTAAATGCTGGTCTCAATGTCTAGGCCTGACGTACCTGTGTAACTTTGCCTAGAGTGATCGTGCCATCTGCCTATATTTTTCATCCAGCTCTCATAAGCTTATAACCGAAGGTTGTTCAAAGCCTGGGGCAGAAATACTCGTGAGGAGTTTGGGCACTCTTACCTTTCATCCCAGTCCGGTACGTGTGCTGAACATACTTCAGGCCTGACACAATGTCCTTGTTCACCTGTGGGTCAGAAGCCCCAGACAATTCAGATTAAAGACCCTGACTTTTTTTTTTTCTAATTTTTCCTGCCCATCCCATTTAGTTAAATAGATTGAGTGCTCCTATATTAAGTCACTGTGTTTCTCTCAGAAAGTGGAGAGACCCAATCACAAGACTTCAAGTTGCCACTGCATGTTTAATATGTAATATCTCTTGATTTAATTGCTTTTGGGGAGGATGCTAATTAAAACATTGTCTCAGTATTCTTCACCACATCTCTCCCTTCTTAGTGGCTTGGGCAATAATTTCTAGCCCTCTCTCCTTAATGCTACTAGCAAAAACACTGTCCTGGTCTCAGGGAAGGTTATAAAAATACCAATGGAAAATTCGATGTAAGTCTGTGGACACCATATCCCCAGAAATGATCCACCTCGCCTATGAAAAACAAACAACAGGCAGAAATGCGGTCATGGAAAGTCAGGCCTGGGGGAGGCTGTGTAACCGAGATTGGAATCTAGAGGGTAGGCTGTGGTCACACCAGAACACCCACCCCATAAATAGGGGATGAAGCCCATGGGTACCCGGCAGGCACGTCCAGGTTCTCTCATCACGTACACTATCTACGACACTGCTGCTTTCCCTAGAGACTCAGTGAAAATCCCCCGGAGGGAATGGCAGCCTGGCATTTTGTTTTCCATGACTCACTGTACCTGGGCCTGAACTGGGCTGCCCGTGAGTTTTTCACAGCGGTCATGTCTATGCAAACAAGTTAAAGAGGACACTGAGTCATGAGCCGAAGGGCTTGGGGAACTTTCACCAGCAGAAAAATTAAAGGACCTCCAATAATTTTCCCTGTCAACAATTTTGTCTCTCTGTACATATGGAGGGCGCAATAGTTAAAACCAAACTTCTAGGGCTGTCGTTCATTCTCCTGATGGTGAGAGAGACACGCGTGAGTTTCGTCACCTCGGTGCTCCCCAGAGAAACCGCTTCACAGAAACATACTTAGGGAAGAAAATGGATGGATTTTTATATAATACCCTCTTCTGCCCATGCCCGCTCTCCGCTGCATCTCCCAACTCCTAAAGCAAGAAGTTTTGGTTACAGGACACTGAAGAGTGGAAGTCAGAGGTACTTCATGTCCTTAAGAGGCAGAGTATGGGGGTGAGGACCCAAAGAATCACCCTAGGTCAGGGTTCTAGGGCATTGTCAACTTCAGGATAAGAAACAACATGGAGAGAAACAGAATGCTGGAGCCTTGTAGGTAACTGGTATTATAAATGCGCTTCTCTTGAATGTTTGCCATGAAATGTCAGGAAAGATTAAATTGCTTTTGAATTGCTCTTTCCTGTGGTCTGGGCTCCTTCCGACTGCAGCTCCAAGCAGGGACAGGCTATAGGTGTATTCACCTTTGCTTGAGTAACAGAGAGAGAGATCTTGATCTTGAGGGAAACGGGGGCAAACCAGAAGTGGGCTGGACTCGAAGGTCCCTCTGTGTCTTGATACACAACCCTGACAGCTCTAGACTCACCTATACCCACGGACCTCCCCTCATCTTCTTAGTCAGTCAAAATCTACTGGTTGGATTCATTTGTAAACCCAGGTTTCCTAAACTATTGCACAACAGTGCAAATGATCAAGCACTGGACGGATGGGAAGCCGTTCTGGGTGCTTTAGATATGAGGCTTTCCCAGCATCCCAGGGGCTCTGGTAATAAACAGTATGGCAGGAAGCAATGCCATCCACAGGTCAAGCGACGGCTGTGTAGGAGTTAGCAAATATTTACAGCATGAGAAGACCTTAAGCATTTTAGCATGTGGTAGAGAGTGGCTGTCTGGCCACCTTGAATCATATCCTGCACCCAGGAGAAAGGTGGGCCCAGTGTGCAAACAGAGAGAGCAGATGGAGAGTCCCCTGGAGAACATGACTGAGTGGGAATGGGCGGCAGCCAAGGCAAGCAAAGCCTGAAATGCAAAACAGTATGTCTCTCGTTTATTTACTTCCAAAGTCAAGGTTATTTTTCTGGGAGCTGTAGTTACTCACTGGGATGTATGTCTATTCATGAGCTGGGAGCTTCCTTCCCGCTTAGTTTTGCTAGATGATCTGCTCACCTGCTCTACAAATGCCACTGAAATTCCTAGCCACGCTGTAAGGACCGTGGTTCCTGCATCTGAAGGATAATTGAGCAGTTGGAGCATCCTGTTTTCTTCTCCTTTTCAATGAACCATTTATTTGTAACATATATCCACAAAGACCTGCCACTAACAAAGCTGCGTGATGTAGTGGAAGGAAGAGGCACACACTTTGGGCTTGCCCCTGCTTGCTTAGGTTGTGTAAGGGGGAAATGGCACAATGCACAGTAGTGTGTGCCTCGTGGAAGTGTCGGGGCACTGAGAGAGGGTGGTGGAGGACAGAGAGGCTGAGGTGTCCTGGCAGGAAAGGTTCGGGAAGTGAGGGCGGATCCCGACAGGAAGAGCTCAGAGGGGAGGGCAGGTTATTTCAGACCCAAGCTGGGAAAAGGAGGACAGCAGCAACCATCACCAAAATCAGTAGTGACGACAAGAGAGTACCAACACAGTCGCGCAAGAGATGGACAGTTAGAGCAAGCGCATGTGGCAGATACTTACTTTGAAGTTAATTTTGACTCTGTACTCAATACCTTCCTTTAGCACAAATGTTTCCTTTTTGAGGGCTTCGAGGTCACCTATAGAAGAGGATTTAGAAAGTTAATATCCTCAGAAGCTGCTACATAAAGAATGAAAGCCAAGGTTCAGAGCCTTCTGCTGGGACCTTCTGGGTTGCATGATTCAAAAGGTTCTTAATTCAGATAGCAAGTGAGATTAGTGTACATACACACACACACACATACACACACACACACACACACACCCCTATACTGCCTGGAATCTTATAGTCCAGTTATTAAAAAAACATGGTAAAGAGTTTTCCTAAACATTTGAGGCCAATGCCAAAAATATACAAACTTTATAATTAGTTGTGAACATAAACCTTTTCCCCCATAACTTCCAGTTAGTCCTGATGAAGACAAATACTTTTTATTATTTGTCAGTAACAAAAAAGTGTCAATCAACCATAAAGGAAAGTGAGTTAATATTCTTTCTATTGAAAACTTCATGTATATCCATAGCCAGATGAAGATGTGAATGTTTTTCTCCAAGAAATATGAGGAAAAAATATATAAGAGCATCAGCTATTGCTTTCATAAAATTCATATGTCTTCATTAGACTTTCCCTCCATCAATTCATATAATTGATATTATTATTATTGCCAGTTGGTCATATATGGTATATTCCAGCTTTAAAAACTACTTTTAATTTTTATAATTATTTAACTAGGTTCTCACTTTAAGCTTATTGGACTCGCATTTCCAATGTCACATCATCTTATTTTCCTTAGGGAAGATCATTTAAATTGTAACAGCTGTAGGGTTCATGATCCTGATAGCTGACTTTAAACCTTGGGCCCTGCTTAGGGATGCTGTGATGCTTTGTTCTTTCCTCCATACATTTTTTATAGTTCAATTGTATGGGCACGTACATGTGTGTGTGCATGTATGTACATTTATGTATGTATGTGTGTGTGTACAAGTCTCTGTGTGTATGTGTGCATATGTATGTGTGTGTGTCTATGCGTGTGCATATGTGTGTCTGTACATGTGTGTGTTTCACACAGCTTTGGATAAGAATTTCACTTCACAAACACGATTACATGGCTTCAGCTCAGCAGCTTTCTTCCCTAGGACAGAAAACCAGATTCGGGGTTTCAAAGACAGAGTTTCCAGGCAGTGTTCTCATCCTCTGGGCACAACCTCAGCACTGTCTGTCCTACACTTCCCAACTGACTGCTGTACCTGGCCACACAATACAGGGCTGAGTCTGGGTGAGAGACTGCCTGTTTTTGTCCTGGAGAGATGCAGCAATGTGGGGGCGTGAGAGAGAGAGAGAGAGAGAGAGAGAGAGAGAGAGAGAGAGAGAGAGAGAGAGAGAGAGTGTATGTGCGCTTGTGGTGTCTGCTCTACTGATTTCAGTTGAACAGGAAGCCCGTCTTCTCAGGCCCTGATTTCCTCCCTCTGACAGAAGAATCCATATAAGGTAAAGCACACATGGCCTGTGAGAGGGAAGTTCCTGCCGTTGAACTGACAGCCCCAGAGTTGTGCTTTCCTTTGCTTCGGTGAAGCTTTGAACCTGGCAGCAGCCTTCCCCCTGCAGATCTACCTTTGATGCCCCTGATTTGGCTTCTGACCCTCTTTTCACCCCCCTAGCAGGTGCCTGTTCTTCCATGAAGCCCACCTTCCCTGTTTATGCCCATCTCCTTGAGACCTGCCTATGGAAAGAACACAAAGGGGAAATGAACACTTTCGTTAGTTTTTTGTAGGAGAACTTGCTTATGGCATGGAACTTTAAGCTTTGGGTGTGTTGAACAGGGGAGTATCTATTGTTACTCAGGTGGTCTTGGGGTGTTCCTCCCCTCAGACCATAACTGGGAGAGGATTAGAGTCTTTGCTGGTCATCAGACCATCTGAAAACTGCAAGCCCTGGCAGGCACAGTGTGTGTCCACATTTCCATCTGCAGTCTTTCCTGCGGGAACAGCTGCTGCTTCTTTTACATGGAAGCACAGAGAGGTGGTAAATGTCACACAAGTAGACAAATTAAAGGGGAATAACTGGAGGCTGGGGAAAAGGCTCAGTCAGGGACATGCTTGCCATGCAAGCATGAGGACCCGAGTCTGACCTCCTGAACCCATTCTAAAAAAGTTTCAGAACTAAATAATCTCCCAAATAAATAAAGCTGGGCATGGTAGCCCCAGAGAGATGGAGACAGGCAGATCCTCTCCCTGAGGCTCTCCGGTCAGACATCCAAGCCCAAGTGAGAGACCACGAGCAATGACACCCGAGGTTAACTTCCGGCCTCCACATGCATGTACAAACATGCACTCTGCACTCTTCACATGTACATGAATTTGTAATCCTAACAGTATGCAAATACACACACGTATATACATGCAAAAAGGTGTATAACTCTCAACTGTTCCATTGTATTGAGTCTGGAGCTGGATTTTTCATTAAACACGGCCATCAGCGGACACTCAGAATGCAATGGTTTGCAGACTGATCTCAGCATGTATGTTTCCAAGGGCCACCTTGATGATTTTCTCCAGAGAGGATTGGGGACAAGTTTTCCCTGTGACATAGTAGACCCCTCTGAACAGTAGAGATATGTTCACTTACCAGTAAGGTCCATGGTGATTGGTCCTGGCGCACTGTCACAAACAAGGCTAAGCCGGGTGACAGTCACGTTGGGGACTGTTGGGTCTGTAGGGTTAAAGAGAAAACATAAGTATATGGAAAGGGCATGTGTGGGTGTGTATGGTGTGTGTGTTTCAAGTTGTGGATGAGGGAAGAGATTATAAAGAGAAAATGGCTTCTCTATGTGGAGTAGCAATAGAAATATTCGCTATGCTTAGCTTTGATCCCTATAGAAATGGCAGAATTGTGATCTTTCTGATTCAGAAATTTGCATACTTTTATATCAAGTTGACACGAGCTAGAGTCGTTTTGGAAGAGTGAGTGACCCTCTCTTGAGAAAGTGCCCCCACCAGACTGGCATACAGACAGGTCAGTGGTGTATTGTCTTCACTGACAATTGCTTTAGGAGGGCCTAGCTCTTTATGGATGGTACTGTTGCTCCTGGGTGCTCTAAGAAAGCAGGCAGAGACCAAAGGTGGTGGAGGCACACACCTTTAATCCCAGCACTTGGGAGGCAGAGGCAGGTGGATCTCTGTGAGTTTGAGGTCAGCCTAGTCTACAGAGTGAGTTCCAGGACAGCTTAAAAAAAATAAAACAAAAAGAAAAGGAAAAGAAAGGGAAAAGGAAGCAAACGGAACAAGCCAGGAGGAGCACGCTAGTAAGCAATCTTTGTCCATGACTTTTGCATCAGTTCTTGCCTTCAGGTGCTCGCCTTGAGTTCCCGGCCCGACTTCCTTTAGTGATAGATTGTGACTGTGGAAGCATGAGCCAAATAAATCAACCCCTTTATCCCAAGATGCTAACTAAGACACAGACTCATCTTAATTATAAGTCTCAAATATCGAGACTGTCTATTCAGGCCTTGTCACCATATTTTGTTCTGACAGTGCGTGTATGTGTGTGTGTATGTGTGTGTGTTGTGTGTGTAACAGACACACACAACACACACAAACACACAGACAGAGAAAGAGAACTAATTATGAAACACCCCCCAAAGAGATAAGAATACAATCATAGGGGCTGATGGAGACCAGAATACAGTAATATAGTTGTGGTCTGAAATTCTAAGTGCTTTTTGTGGGTGAGTAATCTTTGTGTGCCTCACCTGTGACTTTCACACAGTCTCCAGAGAAGACTTAATTATACAGCCTACAACCTTAGACAGCACGAATAAAGAGCACCTCGCCCTCCTCACTGTGTAGCCCAACTGTGGGTGACAGCTGAGCATGTCTCACTGGAGGCCCTGCCCTGCCCCTCCGCATGCGCACAAACCTGCTACCACAGGGACGTCTCCCAACAGTGTCTTCTTGTACTTGGTTAGGCTCTCGTCATCTTTGTCCATCTCCTGCAGCTCCTTCAGGGACTTCTGAGGGGGTGGCTTGTAATTGAGCTTGCTGTCCAGGTCATCGTCTCCTTCCTCCAGCTGGGGCTGTGCGTCCTTCTCGGTCATCTTGATTTCTCTTTATTTCAGAGATAGGATGATGGTCCGTTAGCCAGTCGGGTTGCCATTGGTGCCACCCTTGCCTTATTGGAGATCTACACACATTAGGGAATCTTCAAATTGTCCCTCAGCACACTTCATGAAACATATAATCTTTCCAGCTGTTTCTCTAACTTAATTTTTCTTTGTAGAAACAAAACCATATAAATAAATAACTCACTTGTGAACAATACACTCTGGTGAAGAAGCATAATGAACAGCCCCAATGACCAATCATTCTAGCTCTCTTTGCTCCTTTGCTGTTCCCAGTATACAGTCTGAGCTACGGAGCCTTACAGACACAAGCAGGGCATCTGTGCTCAGATGGTTGGTTTCTTCTCATGAGCTTATTCTTTCATTGAATAGCAGTCAGATCTCGAAGGTGACACTCAGGAAACACAGACCTCTGACACCTGCCTGGGATATATGAATGGGCCCCATCCCACAGTGCTAATTATGGTTTGAGGGCAGACACTGGGTCCTCGGTTTTTCTTGAGTTCACACCCCCACCCCATAATACATATGTAGCTCTGCATTTTATAATTTTCATTGATTGATTTATTTTACTGTGTATCCTGTATTCTTTGGACATGCCACCAAGCAGCAATGGACTCAAATTCCTCTTGGCAAAATCTTATGTGCAAATATGTTCTAAGGGGCCTTCTCCAATCTCCCCAGTTCTTTGAGTCCTTACTATATTTTTTATATTTCTAGTAATCCTTTGTTGTCTATACACTGCAGGTTAGCTGTGAGTGTGATCTAATAGAAAAACTGTAAACTTATTTAAAAGATAATGAGATTTGTTTTTTAAAAAAATTCAACTTGATGGTATGACTCAATCATGGAGTTTACATGTGATGACATTGTATAAAAGTGTCAACAGGTTGGACGCATCTACAAGGTCTCCTGTGCATGGACCACGAATCTTTCCTTCTCTGATCATCGTCTACATTAAGTTGAGTTGTGTAAAGAAAAACGAGGAGGAGACCTAGTAAAATTATCCTCATGTGAGTGATGATGAGCGTCTGTAGAGACGGATTTTCACAGCTCCAAAGTAAAGAGGTAAAATAGTCCAGTTCTCACTGAATCATTGGGAAACTGAGAACTGATGGTTAAGAGACTCGTTCCTGGTCACGTAGCAGTGAACTCGACAGTGTGTGGCTCACATAGTGGTGAACTCGACAGTGTGTGCCTGGAGGTAAAGGGAGGTGCTGCCTGGGAGATGTCTGGGCAAGAATGTCAAATTTCTCATCTCCTCTTGCCCATAGGCACAGCCTTCATTTCTCATAGTCTCAAACCTAGAAGACATTATGTATCACATCTCATTCAGAGTGAAAACACGGTAGACGTCTGGGAATTCTCTGGGAATGAGGAAATTTATGGCTCAGTTTGATAGCAGTTAATATGTTACTCATATGACAAGAAGAAAAATAATTTGGAAATAGAGAAGAACTAAAGCAAATTTGATGGAACAAAAGAAAGAAATGGCCGGGGAGTATGGAGAGGGGATGAAGGAAAGGTTGAAACAGAGGAAGGGAGAGAAAGACACGAGGGACCTCTTCATTCATCTTCCAGCAAAACATCAGGGCAAACACCAAAGCCCTGAGTAGCTCTGAAAGCCACATTGCAATGCCCAGGTCCGTTTCCTGCACAGAAAGGAAGCAAGTAGGATGGCTTTTCTGATAACCCTGTCTCACTTGAACCACAGCATCACATCCCTCAAAGCCAAGACTCCAGATCAGCAGGGAAAGCATAATGACTAACCCAGCTCATATCCCAGACAGCATTCAGAGAAAAAATAGAATGAACTGGTAGGAAAAATAAAGAAGGATGCCGTGGGTGGATCTTGTAATCTGGGGGCAATTTAAGGACAAGCTTCAAGAAGCGGATGAAGAGCAAGCTGGGTAAGACGAACCGGAAGAGGCAGAGTCTCATCTGGTGGCCATAGCAGCTTAGCATGGTGGAGAGCCCACAACCTGCCAGATAGAGCAGCAGGCTATTCACAAGGACAAGCGTGGCCCAGCGCACAGGAGAGGACCTTCGGGAATACATCATTCCATCCTAACAGCTCCCCACTGAAAGCCTGGCCGTTAGATAGTGACATCGCGCCCATTCATCAGTTCAGGATGACCTTGTAAAGCTGCGATTCTTCAGCTTTACATTCCAGTTCTTGAAAAGAGTAAGAGAAGCCGGGCGGTGGTGGCGCGCACCTTTAATCCCAGCACTCGGGAGGCAGAGGCAGGCGGATCTCTGTGAGTTTGAGGCCAGCCTGGTCTAGAAGAGCTAGTGCCAGGACAGGAACCAAAAAGCTACGGAGAAAACCTGTCTCTAAAATAAAAAAAAAAAAAAAAGAAAAAGTAAGAGAAAGAGGGAAAGAGAGGGAGAAGAAGAGAAGGGAGAAAGTGAGGGGTTGGAGGGGGAGAAAGAGGGGTGAGGGATGGTCTGCCATAAGACTTATAAACTTCTAACTATGTGACCTTTGCCAAATCAATTCTTCCATCATTCCATCATCTTCCATCTTATTATTAAATCTGACAAAATTTAAATTTTCGTAATTCATTGCGAACATAAACATTTCATAAAACCAAGGCAACTTTCTGAAGAAGTTGAAGAGGGGAGGACAAAGTGCGGTGTCTGGATTTGGTGCAATAAATGTGGGCATTTCAGAGCCAATTACAATAATTTGACATAATCATAGCACAAGAAAAAGATACGAGACCCACTGATCCGAAGTTCCTCACTGTGCAAAGATGATTATTATGAGAATACACACAAAATAACTGCAAAGGCAACACTCAGCCAAAGCCTTTTCAGCAAAAAAAGAGGTTGAGACTTGTCGGTGGGCAGCCACGGCTTACAAAGGCCTTCACTTCGGAGCATACTGGCATGTACAATACTGGTCAGAGGCAGGGAAGGAAGGGAAGCTGGTAGCTTCCGTCACACTCAAGAGACCTAGCTGGTTGATTGGTGGCCCTTCTCTTTTGGGAGATGACGGGACTCTTAAAACATGTGAAAAGCAGGGATTGAGAGATTGATTCAGTTGCTATGAGCACTGGCTGCCCTTCCAGAGGACCTGGTGTGGATTCCCAGCACCTAGGCTGTAACTGTAACTCTAGTTCTGGAAGGTCTGTCACCCTCTTCTTGCTTCTGGGGTCTACATACAAACATGTGTGCAAAGCAGTCATAAACATAAAATAAAAATAAACAACTCTTGAAAAATATGACAAACATGGTCTTTAGTCCAAAAAAGAAAAGAATAAAGAAAGATATGATTTTTATTTTTTTTAGGTCATAGACCCATGGATTCTGAAGTCCTTCATAATCTTTTTTTGTTTTGTTTTGTTTTTTTTGTTTGTTTGTTTGGTTTTTCAAGATAGGCTTCACTGTTTCAGCTCTGGCTGTCCCCTGGAACTTGCTTTGTAGACCAAGCTGTCCTCGAACTCACAGAAATCTGCCTGCCTCTTCCTTCTGAGTGTTGGGATTAAAGGGGTGCACCACCACTGTGTGGCTTGGCCTGGCCTTCATAATCTTTATCACAGTCTAAGAACTCCAGGTTGGAAATGTGACCTTGGCCCTATAACTTCTGGTGAATGCAGTACAGTTAATTGTTACAGAGGAAGTTCTTTCCCCCTGAGGCCCTGCCGGATCCTTGAGGTCGGACCTCAAAGTAAAGTCTTGACCCCAAATGTTGGCTATACAGAAGCAGAGGACATCAGGTACTATCCATGGCTCATGAGTGTGGGCCTCTGGTGAGATCTGTGTGCGATCTGGGGCTGTTTATCTCCACACTAAGCAACCCCACCACATATGGAGGTTGGTCCCGCCTCCCTCGAAGTGAACTCTGTGGACACATAGTTCAGCCTTGAGGACCCTACGTTCCTTGTCTTGAGAGATGGGGACCAGGGCACATGGTCTCTAGGTGGCCCACTAGTCCCAGCCTCTCTCTGCAGGTATCTCCCTTCACTGTGAAGCTGAGCTCCTCTTTACTAACTTTACCTCATCTGTGAACATGAGAGAACAATACCGCCACTGAACTCTTTAAATTTCATATGACTTTCCACAAGGTGCTACATTCTGAACTTTATATAACTTGCTTTGCTCCCCCTCAGATGTAAATCATTTTTCTTTACCTGAAGCTCTTTGTGTCACAAAGACTATCCTAGAAACAGCCACAAGCAGTTACTGGACTGTTCTGAGTCCAAACTTAGCAATTCCACGCTCGGTGCAGCCCATGGACTATCGAAAGGAACCACTAGGCACGGCGAGGGAGCTTCATGTTACAGAAACAGAAAAAAACAGAAGAAAATAGTAAACACAGCTTAACCTCAGGCCGATACACACATGTCTTGCTGTTAATATGGTTGTTGGCCATAAAAGAAATTAGATTCTACATTTGTAGGAAATAAATCTTGCCCCTGGTTAACTTAGCCACGTGACCTTCATGTTTGATAAATTGTGGGCTCGAGGAAGGTGGGCCCACTCGAAGCCTGACTCAGCAACAAACTTCTTACAGGCCCTAAGCAAGCTTCTAACATCTGCCAGTGGTGAAGGAAAACTGGTCCTCCCCCATAGCATTGAACGGGGGAAGAACAGGCCAGAAGATTATTAATGCATACTAATAAACATTAATCCCTTTCCTCGTCTCCTCCCTTACTGGCCTTGCTAACACTGTGTGTTTTGCGGTATGTAACTGCCTAAGTGCCGAAAGCTTCCCCTGCGTACAAACTGATCATGCCCAGCCCTTTCTTCTCAACTTGTAGTCTGTTTTTCTGAGGAGTAAGGAAGAGAGCCAAGGTTCAGGCACTTCTGAGGGTTGTTTATAAGTGGAGTTTAATGTAAAACTACAAAGATTTTACAGTATTTACTGTATTTCCTTAGAAATACCTCGCAGTAACAATTTCATCTTAGACTGACCGAAGCCCCCGTTCACTCTGAACGATGGGTCAGTGGATGTAGAACAGTGAACAGAGAAATTCCCTCTGGCTCTGGAGCAAAATGCAGGGGCGATTCAACTAGGTTGAAAGGCTGGGTCTCCTGGGGTGTTAACCTGCACGTCTGAGTCACTACAAGGAAGAGGTAGCTACTAGAGAAAGGGAGAGAGGTGTGGGGGGTGGGGAGGGATGGGAGCAGGGGATTTCCTTGCAGTAGGGCCCAGAGCAGAGAGCTGGGTTCTCTCTGAAAACTGCACGTCTCACAGCTAATCAAGGCTCCTCAGGCTTTGATGCTGCTGCCTGGTCTCAGGAGACCCCAGCTTATCTCTCAGGACAGCCACAAGGCCTCTTGGTTGCTTCTGGAATCACCCCCAGTCCTTCAGTATTCCTAGCTGCATGGAAGATTTGGCCCTTCCTTGGCATTGAAAAACCATTCTCTACCAAGTCAGCTGCTTGGACATTCTAAACTCAAAACTAGATGCGAAGATCCAAGCTAGCGACTGAGAGGAACCCTTCTTGTACACTGCACTAAAGGTTCTTATGTCCAGAATGGGACATAGTTCTTAAATCAAATTCTGTATTTCTCTATTTTAAAAAAATCCACCCCCCCACCAGGCTTCCCTTTTTTCCAGACTGGATCGCACTCTGTAGCCCGGGCAGTCCTGGAAGTCACAGAGAAACCCCTGCCTCTGCCTCCCAAATGCTATGATTAAAGGTGTGCGCCACAGCTCCTCCAGAAAGTTTCACCTTTCCCTTCCTGAGGTTATTTCCTGCCTCTGCATTCCTAGCGTGCTTCTCCAGAAGGAGATAAGACTAAGATTTACGGTGCTTCTCCAACTGCCCACACTGCGACACTCTTCTTTCCCAAATAATACTTTAAAACAGTCTTCAAAGGCAGCTGTGCCATGGAAGCCATGACTAGGCAAAAAACAAACAAATAAACAAACAAACAAACAAAAACACTAGCCTTGAGTAACACAACATATCCCAAAGATTTTGAATGAATGAAACATCAGAAGTCAAAGACAGTCGAACTTAGGTTATCGGACCCCTGAAGCTTCAAAGACCTGGTGGAGTTTTAGCCGGCCTTGGTTGAGGAAATCAAAGCATTATCAACAGAGAACAAATTGGTAAGAGCTTGCTGTATGGGTGAAAGTACTGATGGTTGGTTCAGGAACAAGTGAGACCTGGGACCTGCCCCTGTAGGCTCTGCGTGAGACTCGTCCACCATCCCTCAGCACAGTTCATAAAGGAGCGTGCTGCCCCACAAATGAAGGCGCGCTATACATGGGCGTAGAGAAACCCTCTTCCATGGACGTTTCCCAAGGCTACCGTTTCCTTCACCCTACCCGCTACATGACTTCAGTCGAACTACCGAACACTTCCGTGACTTAGTAATCGTCTCCATTTGCTCAGTATGAAAATGTTGAGTTTCCCAATACCAAGCTTGGCACACAGAGGGCTCTGAGCCAATGCTGGCTGTCTTCTCTCTGCATGATTTTCTCCCCACAGGACTCCTCCTTCCTGCTAGCTGAAGTTAGTCACATTATATTCCCACAAATTCCCCTCAGAATAACTCTGTTGTTCTGAGCTTCCAGTGCAAGCAACGCTGCGAGACTACTCAGAGTCTCTCTCCCTAGGGACAGACCCATGGTCCCCAAAATGGTGAGGGACAAAATTCCAAGGGTTGGGAGATGCCCATGAGGCTGAGGCCGCATAGCCATAATTGTTCCTCACCGGCTGAGCCTGGGCCATGGAGATGGAGAGGGGACCATCGGTCTCTCAGAGACTCGGGCCTCCCAAAAGAATAAGCTGATTTTGTCACTACACTGTGCTGTATTTGAAAGTGGCAAGGAAATACTCTTAGAAATGACAAGATGAATGGCCCCTGCTGGTGAGCAGTCCCCCAGCCAACAGGTCACCATCGATCTCTTCTTGAGTTCTCATGTGAGGATTCCATGTGCCAACCCTGACTTCGGGAGGCTCTTGTCTTTGTGAATGGACGCTTTGGGAGCCTTCCTGTAGTCTACCTCTCTCACTGGCAGCGAGGAACTGCTCAGGGTTTCTCTCAGCCACATCACAGCTTACCCCAGATGGGGGGGGGGGGACATTAGGACAGGCTGCCTGGGAGGTGACAAGGAGAGGAAGGTCCATCAAGTCATCCAGAAAGCACTTCTAATGAGGCCAAAGTTCAGACTATGGCAGCCCAAAGGCCCACTGACCCTGTTCATGGTTGAGCCCTCTTAGCTTCTCCTAGCCTCTCTCTCTCCAGCACCCTTCTCTGTATCTTTGGGTTCCCTTTAGCTCTCCCTGGTGTGAAAGGCTGTTTTGTTTTGGGCAGTAACCGTGACTATGTTTCTGCCCATCCCATTGCAGGAATTTAATTCCCTGCTCTTGCTAATGCCTCAGTACTTGACAGCTTGGAACCATTTTTTTTTTCTCTTCTCAAAAATTCTCTTTAAAGTGTGCTCAAAAACAGGAAACCGCATAACCCCACCCCAGCACAACCCATTATCCACCAGCACAGTACATATCAACGCGGAGGTACGGCTTTTCTTTTCCTGAGCTTGCTCAAATTCCAGCTCCTGCCAAGCTAGGAAACAGCTCAGTGCACGGCCCCCGCCCCATCCCAGGTATTCCCAGAACCCTTCTCTAGAATATTCTCACAGCAGGGTACTTGCCTACCTCCTCTAGTTAGTCTACCAGTCCCAGCCCCGGCTTCCCCTTTTCTGCTCCAGTGGTCGGTCTCCTTAGCACTTTCTTATCGTGAAGTTTGTTTTAAAGAACCAGCCTTCTTAAGAACAGCCGGAGTGCATCTGCTGCAGGGCAGAAGCGTGGTTCCGAGATTTCCTGCGTGGGCTCTGCGCCCTCCTGCAGCCTCCCCCACCTCAGGCATTCAACTTACATTCAGGGCTTCGCGTTTTCTGTCGGGTACCTCTGCCTGTCAACTCTGACTTCTGAGTACTGGCAGTTAGAACAGGAAGGAAGTTAGTGAGAGAGAGAGAGAAAAAAAAATGTTTTAAACCTACTTGAAGAGGAAACCCTGGGCTGTCTCAAATCCTGTTCCTTTGCACTGCCTATCTTCCGATCAGCCAGCTCCGAGCAGCATTCTTGACAATTAACGACACATGTGGAGCGAGCCAGCCCATGTGACACGGGCTGCATGAGTGTGCATGCGGGGGGATGGTCCCCATAGCCGTGCGTGCGTGCTATGAATAACTGTGTGTGTGTGGCTAAGAGCCATAATCTTAGGGAGATACGTGCAGCCCCCCAAACAATAGTGATAAATTTGTAGAGGCTTTGGTGTGTATGCCTAACTTCTGCTTCTACAGCCCCCCCCCCCCCCGCAGGCTTTTTTACTTTTTTTTTTTCCTGGTAAGACAATTTGTTGGAAGTGCAGAGTAGGAATTCTGAATGTTAAGTGTATATACTTGGTGCTAAATATTTCTTTTCAGACATTTTTGGAGCTTTGTTTCCTGGTTCTAGTTTTAAGCTATTGCTGTGTTTTGAGCCATAAACCTTCAAATGAAGTAAACAAAAGCAAAAACAAAACAACAAAAGTCCCTCTGCCCTTGGCTATATCCAGGAATGCAGATTTGCAAAAGAAAATTCAACTTCATTAATTCATCATCTAAGGCAGAAATCTGTGATAATCACATATATGCTAAAATTGACTTTGCTGCTATTTGAGGAAATGGTTTGTGAAGTCATGTAAATGAGAACAAGCTGCCAAGGCCATATGCAAACCTTTTGAGGAAACAGTGGCTGTGATCTCTATCTCACTGACTCTCCACGCTCCTGTGACCGCAGTCAAAACTGCAGGCTCATTTATACTAAGATTTCAGCAGTCAGTATTTGTATCTATACACTTAGTGCTTGCTACCTCAACACAGCCAATTGAAAAAACAGCATTAATTCTGTCTTCACCCAAGTTTATTGGATGCTGTGTGTTCCTAGGTTTATTTTGAAATTCACTGCCAGGATTGCATTTTGCCCTTAGGGTAATTAGAGCTGGACTGGCCAAGGAGATGGCAGTCAGCCTGGGTGAGAAAACGGACTAACCTAGAAAAAGTATAAGAGGGAAAGCAGTGGGGTTGGGGGTGGGTGCTGGATAGTTTAGGGCAACTTGAACAAGCCTGTATGCATCCAAAGAAAGGAACCTCCATTGGAGAAAAAAAAGCTTCCATAAGTTTGGGCTGCAGGTAAGCCATATAGGGCATTTTATTAATTAGTGATTGGTGGGGGAGGGCACAGTCGATTGTGGGGGGTTCCCCCCCGGTCTATAAAAAAGTGGGCTGAGCACACCCTGAAGAGCAAGCAAGTAAGCCACACTCCTTCCTGACATCTGCTTCTGCCTCCAGTTTTTGTTTTTGCCCTGTTTGAGTTCTTGCCATGGCTTCCCTCAGAGACCTACTATTCGTAAGCTAAATAAATGCTTTCCTCCTCCAGTTGCTTTGGTCACTGTGTTTCATCGCAGCAATAGCAGCCCTAACTAAGACAGTGTGCATGTCTAAAAGCCAGTGTTCGGAAGGCCGAGTCAAGAGGGTCTCAGATTTGGGGTCAGGCCTGGGCTACATGGCTTCATAGTAAGGCCACCTCACCAGTAATAAAAAAAACAAACAAATAAATAAGCACCAAACAGGAGAATAGTACATAACTAAATTCAACCAAGTTAAGAAAACTCCCAGACAGACCCGTTTTATAAATTTCAAGATAATATGTAGGTAGAAGATCACCCATCAAACACAGTGGATAGCTGTACATTGATAAAAATGCTCTCGAATTGGAGCTAAGAGCCCACTCAACAAGACGAAGAGCATGCCAGGTACTGAAAACCTAGCTACCTACTCAGTGGTGGTGAAGTCATGGTTACTGGAGGAGAATCTACAGCGATTCATTTACTAAAGCATCATCATCCCTTAACAACAATCCTTAAAGGTTGTTCTTTTACCCACAGAGAAATCTAGTCTCTACCCTTCATCAAGAAAGCTTCATTTTGGAACCAATAGAGACCACTACGGATAGACCACCACCAATCAGAATACAGACTTGTGGAGCCCAGTATCAACGAATACAAAATACTCCCACATCAGAGGCTTAGAAAACATTGCAGAAGAGGGTGTGGAAAGATTATAAGAGCCAGATGATCTAGGAGTTTGCTGTGAGACTGACTAGTAATGTCAGAACCCACACCCATAAAGTCTCACAAACATGACTGCCTGAACGTGAGCTGGACAAGGACAACACTGATGGGCATGCCAAAGTGGACTGGAAAAACCCACAAGACCCTACACAGAGAACTCCAGGCAACCGAGGAAAAACTGGGAGTGGGAGAGGTGGTCTTCCCCAAGGAAGAGCACACTGATTAGTTGCCTAGTGCCAATATAGCCCTGAACACAACATGCAAGTAACATTATACAGAGCAAGCTGGTTCTATTTAGGAATATATATATTCATGTATATATGTGCATATATATGCATGTGGTAATAATGGGGAAAAGGTCAAGTATTTGAGTGTGTGTTTTTATGGGGAGTAGTAGTGGAGAGGCAAGAAAAGGAAAAGAGAAATGTTGAAATTGTATTCTAATCTCAGAAATAAAAAAATGTATATGATTTACCCAGAAGAAAAAGAGGAACATATTTATTCATTTGATACTATTTGTTGGGTATTTCTCTTTCAAACAGTGTTGGGGTATTGAGGTACAAGGAAGTCAAACCTCTGCAGTCTGGGGTAACTTACATTCCCAAGGGCAGACAAAGAATAACCCATACATTAACAGAATAAAGAATACTTAGAACTTGGTGGTGGTGGGGGTCAGGGTCTGCTTGAGCACACCCATTTTCTGTGCTAATAGGGCCAATACCACGAGTTAGGCCTGACTGTCCCTGTTGAGCTGAGCCCAATATGTTCTGGTAGTCTGTGTTACTGGGGCACTTTAGGGAAAGATATCAGAAGGCAAAAGCTGTAGACTCCATATGATCTATGTAGTCTCTACACCACCCTTGGAACACAGAGAAATTCATAATTTTTATCAAGTTTTCAGACGGGTCTACAACCTTGAAATAATAGCAACTACTAGGTCAATCGTCATTTTGGTGATAGATTCTTGGAAATTGTCCTCCCGTGCACAAACGCTGGGGGTCCAGGGAAACTGGTAGGACCTGTGAAGAAGTTGTTATGGGAGTCATTGACCCCAGTTGACCTCTTCCTGTGTTTTTCCGTGGCAGGTCATTCTTTTATTTACCAGAGGAGAAAATGGAATGAATTCCTTCAAAAAGACTGAAACAGCAGACACTGCCCTTCCGGCCCTTGCTGGGAAGAATTAGTTATTGACCGAGGCTCCCTTCCCCGTTTGTCTTCGTGGTAAGAGGATCTCTGTTGCCCCACACAGGCAGGCTAATGCCGAGTGACGCCACTAAATTTTACAAACCTGCTTAAGAATTTTCAGAACAACGATGAAACCTTGGAAACGTTCTGGCTGTTTCAAGGGAATACGACAGAAAGGTGAATCCAGAGAAATCTTGCTTAGGGTCACACTTTTGACAGGGGCCTCTGAAAATGTTGACCCCCTCCCCACTCCCACCCTGCTGGCTGCTGACGCAGCAATGACTTTGCACAGACATGGTTCTTAAAGGCCATAAAAAGAAGCAGGCAGAGAAGGCTTTCTGCCCTAACCTCTGCCTGCTCTGAAGTGTGTCCGTACATACCGGTCTCCGAATGGGGGGCGAAAGAAAGGCTGCTTCTAACAACACTGTCCGCATCTCTGGTGGCATTCCCCTCCCCTCCACTCCAATCCCCACCCCCACCCCATCTCTAGTCTGCTTCTGACCCCATTGTGTTGGTCAACACCCTTGGTCTGACCACACCCCTCCCCTCCACTCCACTCCACTCCCAACCCCACCCCATCTCTCCTCTTCTTCTGACCCTACTGACAGCACTCTTGGTCTGACTTTCCCATCTAAGCCTCAGTTTTCTCAATTGCAGAAAAAAGGTGTATTTTCTTTTGTTTTTTG